AAAAACACTAATGAAATCAACGAATAGAATATCCAACCAAATCTCTTCAAACGAACTCTTCTTAATCATTATAAAGAAACAGAAACCGCCATTAATAACCATGTCCGGGAGCTGGTTCAGTTTTCGGGGTGAAGAAGAAAGGTCCTACTGAGTAGAGCTTCATGTATTTCTCGTTAAGAACGCGATAAGCAGAAAGTAAAGCACCAGTAATCCCTTTGTTGACATCACATGGAACATTACAGGTCTCCAGTGGCGACCTTTCAATAAATGCCTTGCACTCTTTGATCTTCAACTTTTTTCCCATATCTGATTCAGACACTTTCCCCAAGAAATAACCCTTTTCATCCGCTGGACAACTGGATACTGTAACTGGAGCTCTCTCATACCCATTTTCATCCTCTACCAGACATTTTATCTTTGCAACAGCTCCTGTTTTTTCACAGTAAATCATATATTTTAAAACAAAGAAAGTAAAGATAACTATATACATATAATTAAGAAACGACATAGTTATGTATATGTGCGTGTACAAGTATATGTACCTTGAATTGGGTAGTACTTGAGGCCTGATTTACACAGAACAAAACCTTCAAAACCAATACTGACTTCCTTTTCTTCTTCTTGGTACTTTGGCTTCTTTGAAAATCCATAACTGACTTCTACTCCTTCCTCATAACCATGACTATTCTTCTTTTCTTCCTCTGCACCATAATTACCTGCATAACCTTTCTTTTCTTTTTCTTTCTCGTCTTCATCATCATGGTCTTCTTTCTGCTTCCATTCATGCTCAATGCTCTTCTTTGTCTCTTCTAGCTTCGGCTTTAGGCTATAATCATATTTCTTCACTTCTTCTTCTTCTTCTACAGGCTTGGACTTGGGTTCATAGGCGCCATCGTTTTCTGCAACTTCATCTGGTTTTGGCTTCAAGTCATACTTTTCTGGGTCTTGGTTTTTAACATCTGGGGTACTGTAGCCATAATCATTAGCAGAGGCAATGACTAGCAAAAGTGGGAAGAACACCAAAGAGGTTAGGATGAAGAAACGGATGAGAGCCATTCAGTACTATTGTTGGGGTTTGAGATTGAAAAGCTCAAAGTGTTTTGGATGAGTGTATGGAATGCGAAAATTATGTCGTTTTATAGGGAGGAGAGAGGAGTTAGTTGAGTATTTTAATATTAAAATGTTTGAGTAACTTGCTTGCACGATAGCCAGAAATTGCAGACGTTTGGGCATGAACCAACATCAGTCCTTCACTCTATGTCTCATTTTAGCATAATTTGTTGTCAGCCGCTTTAATGGGATTTTGCAGTATATAAATATATACACAAACTACATATATATTAATTGTCTTTTTGGTCATTTTCTTAAATACCAACATAATTGTCTTTAATATCATCTCATATATATTTCACTTGCATACATCTATATATTTTCACTTGTAAGTTATTTTTGTACTATAATTGATATCTATGTAATATGCTGTAACGCCTCGTTTTTTTTTTCTTAATGACGTAGTCTAAGACAATCTCACAACCGAATACGAAAATGTTATTCCAAATTCATCACATACATAGAAACCTTACTGCAATCTATTATTTAAAATCAAGATAAACCTGCAAGTCTACATGTAATATCACAGTGAAATATAAGTTCATAGACTCCCAGTAGACACACTATCTACACTACTACAAATTTTTACACACATCAATCATGCTAAATAAAGAAAACATTCTTGTTCTGTTCCTTTGTCCGCTAGGCTCGGAAATCAGCAACTTCGATCCCGACTCCGTCCCTACTTCATCTGTGAATAATAAAGAGTGAGTACATACAACTCAGTACAGTAAAAATTAAGTTACAAATATCATATACAACAATGAGGAACTCAGTGTTTCTATATGTACTCCACCTACTTAACCTAATACCTATCATTGGTAATTTAAATATTATGCATGTTAATTATAACCATCTCTCAATGTCCCCCAACTGTACAAATATTCTCACCCATCACCAGTATCGGTGATCATCTATGCACCAGCGACTAAACTCCTTCCCCGTCGGAGTCTCCCGACCATCACCACTATCGGCGATCAACTTACTTCTTCTAGGTAGCGACAACCAACATCGGCGTCCTCCAATACTACTAACTCAAGAACAATACCATCCTGTTCTCACTCTACCACTTTGTCATA